ACAGTGTTTATCCAACCATAATCACTGGTAAATTTGTCGAGAGCGATTTAAGGCGATTGTTGGGCCGCCAGTCGCTGTAAAGATGTGACGATGAACGCGTTACAGCGTTTCCCTTTCGCTTTTGTGTACGCTGTCGGTATCTATAGTGTTTACCTTGTTCTCAACGTGTAAAATTTAGAATATCGAGAGAAATTAGACGGTTGTTACTCGAAGGGTTAACAGTATCGAGAATGAATCGAGATAGTTTCATTAACGGTGATTTAGAGAAACGAGCGGCGGCTAGGTAATTAAAAACAATAATGAACGCAGCGACGCGACGCTCGTTAATTAGAATTGATAATTGCGAGCGGCGATCGCGACACGCCGCGGGACGGCGCGAAGGCTGGCCGGTATTGAGAAACTGTTCCTTGTAGCTGGTCCCAGGGACCGCGATAAATTTTCCGACCTCTTAATTGATTTCTGCGCCGGGAAGAATAACTCGTTGCTATCGGACCGTTTAACAGTGTCTTGTGTAAGGATGTTGTCGAAGGGAGCTTTCCTTGATTCTTTCTGTGCACAGATTGAACAAGCGTTCAATTTCGAGTCGATTCGAGTGTGGTTAAAGGAATATCGCAGTGTGTTCGTTTTAGTTTGCATAATGTAGTATGCTAGTCGATGAAACGCAGATAAAAGTTGTTTGGAAAATTAAAAAGAACTACTTGTTTACTTAGGTATCTAATTAAAAGTTCTGCTTTATTAACCCGTTGTGGATTGACCAATTTTTGCGTTCAGTTGTGCAAATAAAAAAGATATGCAAGATTTTAAAGCGTTTAAAAAGAAAATTTACTTACTTTTTCAATATACTCAATTACATAAAAATATAAATATAGAAAATATAGAAGTACATGAAATCTTTATTCGCGAGTAAAGCACAGTTTATCTCAAGCAAAAGATATCACTGAAAAGAGAAGCTACGTAGAAAACGTATGTCTGTACAGAAGAATCTATCGGTTGATCTTTAGAAAAATCAGTCAGTTCAACGTTCCTTTGTCTCGAGCACCGCGATGCTCTCCTTCAACTTCTCTCCATTGGCAAGAAGAAACGTTCGAGCTCCTAGACACCTGCACGGTTGCAAAAATACGCGACTCCCTTTTTAGATCGGACAGTTGAACTCGCGGTTTTCTCGTCGTATGATCCAGCACCTGTCCCACTTCGGTCCTTCAGCACACAGCTCTCCCCGCACGGTTCTTCCAATGTATCGTTTAATGAATTCTTGGCGTCTCCCCCCGCGCCTCTTGTCCGAGGGCCGTTTCGCATCCGTCGACGCTGGCAGACGTAATTAAAAGGAACGTGACGCGCAAGTTTAGTGGCGCTTTAAGAGCGGGCCGGATCGTTGCACGTAGAACGCGCGGCACCGCGCGATTCATACCGGCTACGACTCACTTCGCGCGCGGCCTCCGACGATCGCCGATCGACCACAGACTCACGGCGATCGTGCGACTCGATCGTGTCCGCGCGCTCGTAATTATCAGGTCCAGCTTTATGGGTCGAATACTCGACAGTGTGGAGTCTACGCTAATGGAATTCTCAGCTAAGAGCTTTCCTTCGTGGAAATGGTAGAATAGGGTAAGTAGGACTTTGGAGATTTTTCTACTCGGAGCTTTTCTTCGTGCAAATGGTTAAATGGGGAAAGTAAGACTTTGGAAATTTTCCAACTCAAAGCTTTTCTTCGTGGAAGTGAGAAAATAGGGAAACTAGGACCTTTTCTTCGTGGAAGTGGAGAAATAGGGAAAATAAAACTTTGGAGATTTTCCAACTCGGACCTTTCCTTCGTGGAAAATGGCGAAATTGGGACTTTGGAGATTTTCCAACTGGGAGCTTTTCTTCCTGGAAGTGGTGAAATAGGAAAAGTAGGACTTTGAAGTTGAGATCTCGAGACGATAAATTAGGATATATCAGTTTTCTAAGTCAAGGGTTCTTACCCACGAGCACGATATTGGGAAAGTGGAAGTTCGGACAAAATAAATGGGAAATGGTACCCGTATTTGTTGATCGTTTGTCTTACATCGCGCGAGATAGTTGATCACTTTCTATTCGCCTTGAGAGCAGAAAAAAGTCCTGAAAGGCTGTCCTCAGTGGTTCGCGCCGCTCTCTGCAGGGTTTTGCAAGAACGATCGGTAAATTTATGAGGACTTGATCCCGGCGTAGCTCTTGCGCTCGCTTCGTGGAATCCGCTGGAAATGGTCTCCTTCCTGCATCGAACGGCTAACAAACCTTCAAACACGTCCAACTATTTTCTCAGTTATATACCTAATACCATATCCCAGTAATAATTCTCCAACAAAATACCAGCGAATTTTGTAAAAAGAGCAACCTAACGATCATATCCAAACTTTCTTATTCCCCCCGTATCAAACGAAAGGGATAAATCCTGACAAAAACACTCTGGATCCTCGCAAAAAAACGACACGATACATCTAGATCACGGTGGCGAAGCAGACAATCGATCGAATCGAACAGTTGCTTTTTTTCAGCGAAAGGACGATGATTTCGCTAAATCCACGGTGCGTAGCAGACGTTGTCGATGCAAGACGAACCATTTATATTCCCTCTTTCTCTTTTTCCACCAATCTCTGGAATCTCACGACAATCCACAGCCATCAGCGTCGAACCAATTCGAATCCGTAGGCCAGGCCTCTCTCGTCTCTCGACTGGGCTCGACACCGATACCAGTGCAATTAAAAGCAACGTGACCAGCGAGACAAGCAGCAAAACTGTGAAAGACAACGATCCGACCGTTTCTACAATTCGTTACGCAAAGGCTGCGGCGAGCGTTGTTCACCGAACGAGGGGGGGACACGGTTACGAGAAGGCGAAGAGAAGGCGAGAAACAGAAGGATATTGTTGCCGGTTTGTCTTGAGGACGGCGAGCAACGAAACGACGACCAGAGTCGTCCTTCGGCGATAAAACGTTCACCGCCTCGTCGCCCGGATGACAGGACAATGATGAAGCGGTTTAATTGTTCCCGATCCGACGAGTTTTTCCGTCAATTGAATTACACCGGTAAAATTCCCCCGCAAGAAGCGAATAGTTCCAGGCGCGTCCCTGCGAGGTCGAATCCGGTGTAAAAACAGAGCTACCCGAGCACCCATTGTTCCATCTTCTTCTGCATCGTGTACACGTTTGAATATTTGCTTTTCTTCGAAACGATTCAATCACCTTTCCCTTGGTCGTTGAGTAATCCACCTCTCTGTTATATTCCTGATACTTTTCCTTCAAATTATTCTCGTATCATCTCCGTCGCGAACAATTCGATAATTCCTGGTTCCAAAGTTATTGTCACGAGGCGTAGAAACAGTTCCCGCGGTGAAAATAGGCGCGACAGGTGACGAGGAGTGACAATGACGCGCGGCGTTAATCAAGGGCGGCAGGTTGAAGAGAAACGACGAGCAGCCAGGCCGGTAGCTGACGTCTAACTCAAGGATAGGTCGGAGGGAAATTAGTGTTGGTTGGTGGCCGCACATCCTCGGTATGCGAGGTACTTTCCACCGTGTACTCGCTCTCGAGGGCGTCTTAGCGTTATTGGTTTTACCCCTCGAGACGCCCACCACGGTGAAGAGGGGGTTGCTCCTTAAATGGAAGCCGTGAAACGGCGTGAAAGAGAGAGACGGGGGAACGAAGAAGTGGAACAAGGGTCGAGAGAGCGAGAAGTGGGCTCCTGAATGCCTCTTTCCTACCACCGACAACCAGACTACTACTTCGCTTAAGTAATTAGACTGCCGACCGTTCGTTACCTTAGTCATTTCTGAGATGGAGAACGAGAAAATTTCTTCGTCCTGTCGCTTTCTCTCGGTCGTCTAATGTTCCGATGTTCCTGCAATGTTTTACCGTTTCTTCTGTAATGCAAATTCTTTCTCGTCGCGTTGATAATTTAAGAATGATTCTTGGGATCTATAGATAATTTCCTTTGCCTGATCTCCTTCGATGTTTCAATTTCAAAGTGGTGTCTTCGTCCTGTCGCTTTCTCGATCTACCTCCAATTTTCCTAGAATTTTTTACCATTTCTTCTCTAATACAAATTCCTGCTCGTTGCGTTGATAATTTAAGACTGATTAGACAATTTCCTCTGTCTGATATTTGATGTTTCACTTTCAAAGTGGTGCCTTCGTCCTAACGTTTTCTCGATCGTTTAATGTTCCAATGTTCCTGGAATTTTTAGTTTCTTCTGTAATACAAATCCCTTCTCGTCGCGTTGATAATTCAAGGCTGATCAGACAAATGCCTTTGTCTAATCTCCTTCTACGTTTCACTTTCAAAAGTGGTATTTTCGTTTTTTCGATCTTCCATCTCCAATTATCCTAGAATTCTTTACAATTTCTTCTCGTCGCGTTTCCTAATTTAGCACTGATTCTTCACAACTATACCCAGTTTCCTCCATCTAGCCTCTCGCTTTTAGAATAGCGCTGAGAAGGAAGTAACGTCGTCCGATAGCCTATCATCTCCCCACGTTAAAAACGATCAGGTCTCGTGCATCAGAGCGCTGATCAAAACGGGTAATAATTACCGCCCGTTTGTTCGTTTCCACGCTGGAATTAGACTAATAAGCAACGCCCCGCTGTACGATCGATAAATCGTGGAGATTTGTATAAACACATAGTAGCGCGTACGCTTAATTACGATTCTTTATTCAAGATACCGCGTATCCTTCGAGCTGGCAATTTTCCA